CTGGCAGCAATCCATTGTTGCTTGAGTTGTATCAGCTTTGCAAGATCATCTGCAGAGATGGGATAGTTCCTGGCATCATGTTAAAGTCTAAGTTCTTGGAGAGTTTAGTGAAACTTCATGAGCTATAACTCCAATAGTATATGGGAACTCTGGCAATCTTTAGCTGCCATTTGTTCCTTTCATGATTAAATCTTAAATAAATACCAGATCTATTCCCTTTAATTCAGTGCTCCTATCCTAGTATGTCTTTGGATCACTGATTTCCCAGTTTGACTTCCCCACTAGAAGAAATGCCATGAACTCCGTGGTCACTGTGTTGTCTGGTGCCATACGACTTATGGGTGGGTGCTCTGTGGGTGTACATCTACTGGTTTCAAGCAGATGTACAATGGAGACTGGCTTCAGCTTATAACCTATTTATTAAACTTAGAGATCCTTCAGTAACTCAGGTCTTGGGAAAACTTTCTTAATACTAAGGATTACAGGTAGTCTATAAAATAGGAATCCTATTCACTCACCATATTGGGAACTATATAAGTTGTAACACATGAAGTAACATGCAAACATTGTTGATCACCAAGGCTTTACGATTTCCCTTGCTTGGCAAGTTTCACTTCCCCTCACATACTCACACCCAATTCCCAACACTATGTCTAGACCTATTAAGACTCCTGGACTTCAGGGCTAACCCATAAACCCCCAGAGGGTGGCAGATCAGCCACTCCTAGCCGGTGGCCCCATTCTGTAGTTTTTTTCCCTAAAGTTCTCTCTTCAATACAGGGCTAGGCATACTCATTTCCATAGCCATACAGCACTGCTAAGATACAAAGCAGGCAAAGGATGTCTGAGCAAACATGAAGACATTTCTAGCAGAATCTCTGTACCTACTCTGACAGCACCTAACAGGCACTCTCTTGCTTAATTGTTAATTGAAAACCTCAAAATAACTAGCAGGCCCAAGTTTTCCTAGGAGACATCATATGAAAGGGAAACTGGGCTAAGTTTAACGTATCACCTGCCATCTTATTTAGCATCTACAGAGCTGTTAGTGTGTCTAACTCGTTGGAAGAAACAGTGTTCAATGTTTTTATTTTGAGCCAACAGCTGAGGATAGCAAAGAGACACTAATTTAGATTGATAAATGCATAGAGTGAAATTGAGATATTTTCACTTACAAAGTCAAATTCTCTTATACTTGACCCTAAGTCCTCAGAAATATTACCATTCCTTAGATTTGCCCATCTTTAGCTTGGGACAGGGGTTTGTCCCTGACCATTTACTTCTGTTCAACAAGTACATCTCACCCATAATCTCAAAGAAAGCATTTTTTGGAGTGTATATCTAGAAAGTAGTTTGTGGCCTGGGTATTCTCTTGAGATCAAATTAGAAGCGAATAAACCAAGCAATTTTGAATCTATCAATTAACCACACTAGGGGCAGTTGACTTGGCCTAACCATGAGATGCTCTCATGAGGCAAGTATGCATATTCTGAGGGTCATTATAGACCTCATGGCCCTGTAATGCATTTAATATCTAATAGGCTAGCATGCAAATGTGGCTTTCCAAAGGAAAGTCCCAATGCAAATTGAAGCTAATTGTAACCTGATATAGGTAACAGCCTCCTCTAGATCACTAGTCCCTATATTGAGAAGAAAGTGATTCGCAGTCTGTGAGAAATAGAAAATGGCCCAGCTATTTACTATGAATTATCTATATTTCGATGTTGTGTGCCAAGTTTAAGGGTTTTTGGATCAAAACCTGAAGCCGTATGGCTGGTTCCTGCTCTACTCTAGTTTTATCATATCAGTTTGCTACCCCTCCTGGAAAAGAAGGGGCTCACAAGGACTTTTCACCTCTTTCAGGACTATAACAAAAATTCAAGTCAAGCACATGGTTATTCAATTTTTATAAAAGGAACAAACACTTCAATCAGGACTGTATTTCTTTTGATGATGGAGGCTGCCACCTTTGCTAGCTATGCTGAGTGTTTAAATATGCACTTTGTTGTACTGAAGTCTTAACRTTTGACAGCTCTACTGAACTTGGCCTTGATATGCATGCTTTAGGTATCTGAAGACGTGAGCACTAAAAACAAAAGTTAAATAACATAGGACAAGCACTACAGGTAAGTGCCAAGTGAAGGAAGGGAGCAAGAGGATGATTGAGGGGATAAAACTGTTTCAAGCAATTCTCATTGCCTACAAGGGCTTAGCTGGTTACCTGATTTTTCTTACTTTTAAAAAAATGGTGCATAATGACACATAATGGTGAGATTTATTGTTTTATATTTTTAACAATATAATTTCTAGTGATTTGTTTTTAAAGTCCCTGTTAACATGTCCCATTCTTGGACTTAAGCAAAGATTACCATCATTATTGTCATTATTGTACCTTCTCTCAGTTCTACCTAGACAGGTCAGGTTTCTTTTCTCATTGTCTCAGTTTTTTTTTTTTTTTTTTTTTTTTACCTTTAGGTCTATTAATACTGCCAATTTTATATCAACCCACTCCCCACAATAAAAGAAGTTTCTTCCTATTCTTCTGCTTGTTGCTAACCGTATCTGAATAGCTCTCACAAACCTTAATTCTTCTAGACTCTAGCCTTGAAGAATGTATGGTACCCCAGATCTTAATCTATATCTAGGTGGGAGGAAAATGTCCTAGAACCACCAGGTAATTTGCACCAAAGTATACTAACTTCTCTTGCTGTCTTCACTTAAGCTCTTTGCCCTGAGTCTTGTGCATACTTGCCCTGTCCTACAGTATTCTGGACCAGCAAAGTAAGTGTGTGCTGGGGGGCAGGAGAGTTGGAGAGAAATGGTAAGAACAGAAGACCTAGGGCAGAAAGTCAGTTCACATGTCCTGGGACTTTGAACTTAAGACAGGAGCCAGTCTGGGTTGGCTTGGGATCAATATCTGCCTCAGCCAAATTTGCTCCAGTTCAGAAAGGAACTACTTCTTTCCTTTTGACAAATTTAGGTTTGCATGGGTATCTTTTCCACTGTACACAGCATGTCCCTTATTTCACATGTAATAAAGGGATCCTCACCTATCTAATTCAAGACCAACATATGGCTTTGACAAATTCATTTCCACACTTTAGGTGTATTCCTCGCATTCCACAGGGAAACATTAACCTCTAAAGCAAAGTTAGTATTTCTTAAAATCCAAGAATATAAAGGGATGTGCAGTCAAAAAAAATCAATATTTTCTCTCACTTGCTTGGATAATTGTAGGCAGTTTCTGGTATAGTGTTTTGAAATGTTGCAAAAAATATAATGCAAGTCCTGGCACTATTCTGAGAGATCGTTTAATAAGTTAGTATTACTCATCCATTAATGATTGTTAATGTCTGAAAGGGCTTTTCTGGGCTCTTAGGTTCCTTCCTTACAGGTCACATTCCACCTTCAGGACACTCTCGCCTTTTTCAGAGTTCAGACAGAGGAAAGCCTTTGAGGTTACAGCCCACTAGTAACCTGTGCTTTCTTACTTTCTCTTAAAGATAACATTTCTCAGGCAGCTAAATTAAGACTCCGTGGAGCCACGTGACCCACCTAAACGTGACCGGGCAGCCAACCAATCGCAAAGAACTGAAAAGCCCGTCCCAGTTTCACACGCTCCGGACAGTCGAACCAAAGGGCAGGGGGCATTCGGAATTTTTACAAACCCCAAGTATTGCCGGAGAAGCTGCTTGACCACACATTTGAAAGTTCACTCTCACTTCAAGAGACACGTGACTGCGGGCGGGCGGGCCTCCTAAGCCACCAGGCGATAGGAGGTAAGGACTCTGGAATGGGTATTAAGGGCTGAGACAGCTTTCAGTCCCCTTTCCCTAGAACTGGCTGGCAAGCAAGCCCCTTTGTGTCACGTCTTAAGATCACTTCAGGGACCCGCCAAGACGCTGACCAAACCTTCTTAAGATAGGCTTGCTGTCGCCTGCTCAGGGAAGTTGTATGGCCCAAGTGGGAGAGTGGCTGAACACTGGACAGGGCTTCCAGGCCCAATGCAGCTGACCCCCGGGACTCAAGGGTAGTCACCCCTGCCTTTCACAACAAGCCACAACCATACACCAGCTCCCACGCTACTCTTTTGATCTATTGTTTAGAATGAAGGCTAATTACAGTCATTAGACTAGTATTCGGTTCCTCAGGAGGAAGCCCAGTGAGAAACAGGATCCGCAAACTAACCAGATTAAGTCTGTGTCCAACCCCTCTCCCCGGTTCAGCTGCATCAGGAGCAAGTACGCATACCAAGAGGTTTCGACACGCCGCCCCGGAGTGGAACGAGGTGTGGAGAAGCACCTCAAGGAGAGCCCTTTTGAAAGCCACACTCTAACCTGCACGCCACCGAGACGGCTTGGGGCCTGGGGAGTCGCAGTTGGGGTGCGCAGGCTGCGCACTTCTGGCGGCTCCGCGGAGACTCCCGGGCTGCCGCCCACCGAACGTGCGTCAGCTCACGGCTGCTGGGGGACTCCCTGCCCCGGCCAGCACCTGACGCCCCGCATCCTTGCAGATGCCCACCTCCATCCGCCGTAGGCTCTCACCCTACTTAAGTCCAAGGGGCGCGCCCTGGGCTGTCGCGCACCTCTCGGCCAGGCCCGGCTCTCTGCCTTCTTCCTAACACTCCGCCTGGCAGAGGAGGCAGAACCATTGTTCAGTGGCTCAGAAGCTCATAGTCCCTAGCCCCTGTCAAGGGTGTGAAAAACGAGGCAAAGCAGTAGCTCTGGGGGAGGGGGCATAAGGGAATGAAGACTAGTTCAAGCGAGGGTTTAGGACACCCAAAACCCCACTGTCCCCCAAGCTCGGTTCCCTGTAGCCCTGTAGCCGAGGCGCTGACAGCTCAGAAGCGCCACCAGGGTGGGGAGGGAAAGGAGGAGAGCGGAGCGGCGCCTCCTAGGAGGGGGGTGGGCTAGAGAAGACCGGCGCCTAGGGCCCCCACACATATTCCCGGCACCCTGGTTTGCTCCAGGCCGTCTGCGGAGGGGTGCGTCCCCACTCACCGGCTCCAGTGGCTCCGCTGTCCGCGGGCGCCCAGCACAGCGCGAGCAACAGCCAGAGCGCCCAGCGCGCGGACGTGCCCATGGTGCCCGCCTGGATGGTGCCGCCGCCGTCGCCGCTCGCTCCGCACAACAAGTTACCAGCCCTTCGGAAAGGAGGAAGGAGGTGGGGGCGGGGAGGGGGAAAGGGAAGAGGAGGGGGAAGGAGTTAGAGGGGGGGAAAGGGAGTGGGGGAGAAGAGGGCACCCCCTCCCCTACAACTTGCACAATCTCCTCCCCACCAGCCAGCCCGCCCACCCACCCACCTCCCCGGGCTGCAGCAGCGGTGCAAGCCTAGGCTGCGGGCGGAAAATAATGCAGGCGCTGCAGAAGAGGGGAGGGAAGGGGAGGGGAGGGGAGGGTACAGGAGAAGGGGGTAGGGAGAGGGGGTGGGGAGCCGAGAGCAAAGGAGAAGACACCAGAGAGGAGCCAGCCGCGGAGCACCCACACTGGCAGCGGCTGGAGCGCGGGGTGAGGAGCCAGGAGGGGGCAGGAGGGGGAGTGGTCAGCGGGGGGGCGGTGGCTGGAGCCTTCCTCCACGCGCTGCTCTCACACGCGCCAAGCAGCCGGGTGCCTGCGCCGGGGGTGTGCGAGTGTGTGTGCAAGTGTGAGCGTGCTTGCGTGAGTGGCAGTGGCCGCGGCTGCCGCCGCCATCCGGACTGCTCCAGGGGCCCGGCGCGTCCGCCCAGGGCTCACGGGGGGCCGGGGCGGCCGCTGGTTGGCTCGCGCACCGCCCTCGCCTCCAATCCCGGGTGTCTGTCCTAATTTCCTGATCCAGGGAACCTGCCGCCGCAGCAGCTGTGCGCTCCCTACAGTCATTACTGTACCCTCCGGCAGCCGCCAACAGTAAATGCAGCAGCGGCAGCAGTTAGCGCTGATGCAACTATTGCTGCTATTGCCACCGCCTCCCCAATAACGGGGCTTGCAGGGAGGGGGCTGGGGGTGGGGGGACGAGTTGCACCTTCTAGAGGCAGCAAGCATCTCTCTCTACCACCCTCTCTACCAGAGGCTGGTTTGGGGCCGGTAGGTAGCATCTTCTCGGGCCTCCTTTCTCCAACTAGAAAGTGACAAAGAGAAGGGGTTCCAAACGTTTGTGCTGCTCTGATGTGGGGTTCGGGATACTTATCAATCGCACGCTGAGATGCCATTTTGCTAAAAATTAAATGTGTCTTTAAGTGAGAGAAAGAGAGAGCGAGAGAGCGCGCGGTTGTGGCTTGTTCTCTGTAATAGAACAAGACTAAAATAACCCAGTCTAGGATGGGGAGGAGGGAAATTGCTAGCGCAGCTCTGCATTCTCTCATCAACCATTATAGTTAATTGCTAATTACACAAAATGATAGTTTGAGGGCCTGTAATTAAAAGCTTAACCTTTCTGGTTTGGGGGAGGGAGACCCCAGTAGATTTTTTTTCTTGATACACTTTGTAACATTCAATTACAAGGCTTAAGGGAAGAAAAACGGAAGCAAAAGCAACACTCCTAGAAGGACTGATCTTTGTTTTGTGCCAAACAGTTCCTGAGCCTATAATTTGCTTTTTGTGCACTTCAGTTTTCTTGCACACTTTATTTCCCCTGGTTGAGGTGCGTTGTCTGTTGTGGCCCATTGAGCAGCTAACAAGAGTGGGAGTTATTGCACCTTCAGTGAAGAGTTTTTATACTTTTTAAAAAGTTGTTTTTACCTTGAATGACTCAAAGTTGGCAGATTTCAATAATATCATGTCCTGGCTCTATTCGGTTGCTGATCCGAGGAGTAGAGGCCACTACCTAGCTGTATTCTCCTTGCCCTGGTTCTCCTGGGCATTTGTCAAAGCTAGTCAGCAGAAGGGATGTTTATTTGGGAATTTACCATCCCCAGGAGACAGAGAGATGAGGAAAATTCTGAGTCAGGATACATTTTGGTTTATCCGGGGTTTATCCAGATTGTGACTGAAAAACATGAAGTAGCTTTATTTGATGTATAGATGAAGACTTGTACTCCATCTCATTGTGAATGCTACTTTGCTCACTCTGTGGTTACATGATCAATATAAACTGCAGGAGCCACACACATGTTGCATGTGAAACAAATTAAATTTGTGCCATTTGGTAGTGCAGATGCATGCTAGTGCTGTCCACCTCACAGGCACTGAGGTGAATGGTCACACCCTAGGTGCATGATGTGTTCAGTTTTCTTGGAATTGGGAAAAGGCCATTTCCACTTTACTAAGGACAAAAGGGAGTAGAGGACATGGATGGAATCAACATAAAAAGGTACAGCATTAATAAAGAATGATGTAGTTGTTTTTAACATTTTATTCAGTGAGAAATGTACACTACAAGCTAAACATTGATATAGTACAATAAGACTTATCTTTGACAAACATGTATTATGCTTTCTAGCATAAAATAAACTGTTGGCAAACTTAGCTATAGCTCTGTGTTCAATCCTCTATCTTTTTGTTGAATCAAAGGGAAGTATAAACTCTCTGATTGGATGTGTATCTTGGAAAAAATCACTGGGTTTCTCTGTGCCTGCCTCTGACCTATAAACTGAGAAAAAAAAATCAACCCACATAATATCAGAGTGTTCTGTGGTTTCAAAAACCAGCTCTTTGCAAAGAGTGGATGAGACAGGAGAAAGAATGTATTAATTGGTATAGAAAGTAACTAGTAGTAAAATAATAAATCAATCATGAGTGGAGATTGATGTGGATGAACTTAGTTAGCTTAGAGAAGTTGATACTGCTGGCTTCTAGAAGTGTTCCAGTAAACGCATAGGTAATCCCATTCTCTCCCACAATTCACCACATTCATTGATTTGTTTAAGTAACATACACTGAACATCCCAGGAAGGTAGGTTATTTGCAAGGTCTTGGGCATATGGAGGTGGTTATCTGAGCGGCCTGAGAATCTGGTGGGAGAGACAAACAAGTAGGCAACTGCAGTGCCCCATTACTGAATGATAAGGCAGAGATGCTCAAGGGGCTACAAAATTGATTACAAAGAAAGAGCAGCTAATCTGGCTTCAGTATGAGGGTACCAGAAAAGGCTTTACAGAGATCTGTTGCAGAGCTGAGCATACTCATGATTTTTACCAAGTAATTTAAATTTTCCCTCGTTCTGGGCACATGATTGGATTGCAATACCTAGCCCCCTGATGGTTGGGTTGTTTTAAAGACTAACTTCAGCTAATTTGTGAGCAAAAGTTATAGATGCCTCTTCCAGACAGGCATTTATTCCTTGTGTGAGATTCTTTTTATCTGTACAGTGACAAAAAAAAAAAAAAAATTCCAAAGGTGCTGTTTCATTAGCCCAGGTCTCTGAGTGACTCAGAACTACTCATCTAAGTAGCTCCCAGCTGCCTATATGTCTCTGGAAATGACTACATACATTAGGGGTCAGCAAACTAGAACTCATGGACTAAGTCTAGCAAGTGATTGATTTTATATGACTTATGAATAAGAATGGTTTTTTAAAATATTTTTAAAGATTTACAAAAAAGATGGAAGAAATAAAAGAAAAAAGAAAAAGCAGCAGCAGCAACAGAAACTATATATTGCTTATCAAGCCTAAACTATTTGTCACCTGTCTTTATAGGTGATATAGAGTGAATGAGAGCTAAACCTTGACATAGAGTGAATGAGAGATAAATTTTGGCTTCTTCATCTCTTGATATTTTGTTACATCAGCATAACCTAGCATTTACCTCACTGAACACTTGGGAAGAAGGAAAGAGAGACCTGATGAGCAGAGGGAATTAAAGCACAAGAGCAGCATGTATTCAAGGCAGTATAAGAGACTCTCAGGATGGGTAGACTCAATTGGACTAATGATGGGAAGTAAGGCAGAAGAAAAGGAAGGACAGGATTAGGTTGAGCCTAGTATGATACACAGAGACTTTAGATTTTATCTATTGAAGCATGGCAAGGCCTTGTTACAGATTTTGATCATAGGTCTCACGTCCAGTTTTGTTAGTTTTTTTTAAGAAAGATTACTTTGTCAGTGATATGAGAGGTGGCTTCTTTGGGGGGGTAGAGTAGACTGAGACTAGAGGAATAGAAATTAGTTAGAGGCACCAGTAGTGAGAGAGTAGGTTAAAGAAAGGAGAAAAAGAAACTACTGTTCTTGGTACAGATTCCCAGGCCCTTCCTTGACCCTGAATCAGTAGGTCTAGGGTGGGGCATGGGATCTGTATATGTAACTTTATTATAGTTGATTCTTAGGATTAGTCATGATTAAGAAACTATTTTAGAGAATAATTTCTTCAGTTTTAAATCCTACATGGCTTTACTTCTTTCAAATACTTGAAACATTATTTCTCCAAATTCTCTGAAAGGAGTAGGTTAGGGCCCACAGAAAAATGCTAAGATTGATGCTTGTCATTTCCTTTTCTGCAAAGCCCTTAGCCTCATAAATACAGGCTTCAGAATTCATCTTCAAACTAATTTGCTAATTTGTAGCACTGACTTCTGCAACCCCAGCTTTGGAAGTAAGAAGTGAAAAAGAGCTATCCCCTTGGGAAGTTTTGTTGTTGTTGTTGTTGTTTTGTTTTGTTTTTCAAAATAAACCTCTTTTTTATTAGTCCATTGTAGAATATTGGGGTTCATTTTGACATAATTATATGAATGTGGAATATAATTTGCTCCAATTCAGTCCCTAATATTTCTTGGGAAGAATTTTGATAGTGACTTCCCAAGTCTCCATTTCAGCATTTTCTAATTGTGTGACAGCCCAGTGAAATGCATAGAATTTATTCTTCTCTCTGGGATCCACAGGTGGATGATCTGATGGCCAAGGTTTATTTAAGCATGGATTGCTAAATTGCATTCCCAGAGTTTAGGATTGAATAGGTCTGGAGAGGGGGCCCAAAATAGATTTTTTTTCCAACAAATTCCCGTGGAATGCTAGTGCCAGGGAAGACACTTTGGGAACCACTATTCTAAATCTATATGTTTAACTTCCTTCCTCAACCACTGTGATAGGTCAGGGCCTCAACCAGTCAACCTGTGGCTTTCTCTGTCCACAATGATTGGATACTTAAACTCTAAATACATCACCCAAGTGGCTTCATTTGTGGTGAAGCTTAGGATTTTTTCTAGGAACTTTTAATTGGTTAGAAAGGTATTTACTAAGTAATGTGATTATGTGGGCATAAGGCCAGATCTGCTGGCCATGTTACCATTGTACCCCCAGGAAGGAAGACAATTTGAAGATGAAATTGACTTTTGGAGAAGAGGAATATGAGAGAATCAGAAACAGCATCCAAACTGTAATCCTGGGCCCAGGTCAGCTTGTTTTGAAAGTGATGTTCCATGGGACTTCTCACCTGAGCCAATGGATTACCTTTGTTGTTTAGTCAATTTAGATTAAGCTCTTACTTGCACTAAACTGATGACGATGCCCTCTCAAGGGTGACTTGTGGTGCTACCATAAAGCAATGGGCAAAACTCCACATGTGGCCACCCAATGGTATTGATGGGCAACTTACTTTATACACAGAGATATGAAAAATTGTGGTGTATATGTGTATTAAGAACTGTAATGCAAAAATAACAAAATACATGTATAAAAGAATAAATTGGCGTGAATGTACTTTATATAAGAGATGAAAAATTGTGCTCTATATGTGTAATAAGAATTATAATGCATTCCACTGC